TGCTGCCGTTTCTGCACCCGCGCTGGGGTGCAGATGGGCAGTTACTTTTGGAAAGACGTCTTGGTAGTTCAGGCTTTCCGATTACATAATAAAAAGATAGTTACGTAGATCTTACAATTGATAGACGTACCAGGAATTTGTAATGTAACCTTATTTCGTAAGGACTAACAGGCATTTTACAGAAACATGCATTTTCAAGGGAAGAAGGGGCTTTTTTTGGCAATGTTTGACTGTCCATGTACAGAAAGCCACAAGACTGTCCCTGATTGTTATTTTTGGTACAGTAACAGTGGTTGAACTACGGTGTGTCTTAGATTGCAATGCAAATGTTGTCACTTTTTCTGCAAAGTCCTCTGCAATGATCTGTTTCATTTCCTAGAGTGTTTTAGTCTGTGAGCCTGTGTGACTGAATTTGCTGAAGTTTTCAGCAAATAAGAAAGCAAAGATAGAAATAGAGGACATTCATCTCTCCTGAGGTATGGGTACTTGTATTTTTTAGCGATACCGGATTTAATAAAACTTCAAAGCAAAAGGAGAAACTGATGCAAGGCGCTTCCTCTTAACTGTCAGGTTGAGATCTATCTTTTAAAAATGTTTTGAAGTCTCGTGGTAGCTTTGGTATAGCAAAGCACGGCTTTGGCCCTATTCATGTTTTTGTCTATAGTTGAAAATGTTTGGAGTGCATTAATGTTCTGTGTGGGAAGTAGGGATGCACTGCTGATGAGACAGCCGTGTCACAAAATACTCTACTGTGATACTGTTTTGATTGGGGACTGCTACTTGGTTTGTCTATCTAAGTATATACAGGGTATTCTCAGCAATAGTAGGAAATAGTACTATTAGTAGTACTAGTGGAGATGCTCCTTACCTGATTCTTTAAGTATAGCTGCGTTAAGAAAGCACAGTTTAATTAAATTTTGCTTTTAAGTTTTTGTTCTTATTGTATGAAAGATACTCTTACTACTCCACAAGAAAGAGAAAAAAATGTAAAGAATTGTGAAAAACAAGAAATAAACCAAAAATACAGGAGGCAAATGTTTTTTTCGCTGTGGCCTGTCTTGATTATAGTACTGTGAAAGGTTACATAACAAAAGTAATGTATTCTCATTTGCTGGAATCTTTTTTACTGATATTTCAAGTGACGTGATATGTAAAAATACTAGAATGAAAGACATTAGTTAAGGTAGACCTAATAATTGTTCTTGTAATTATTTAATACGCAAGTGTAATTGTGGGCTTGATCCATTTATTTCTGACAGGTTAATTCTTCTTTCTTAAACTTTTCACAAAAGTTATAAAATGTGATTCTTTCATGCTACTCCACTTCAGAGTTTCGGTTACTTGAAGAGCTATCTTGTTCTTGCCTCTACTACTGGTGGCAATAGGTGATTCACTTGAACACTTCTACCTTCCATTTCTCAATTATAATCATGCAAGGGTGATCACTAAACGCTTTGAGAGTTGTGGATGATGAGTACTAGGTAGGAGTTAGTGTTATTAGACAGCAAAGCAGTGAAAAGCACAAGAAGGCCGATCAACATTGGTCTGCTAGATTTTACGGAACTCTTATTTTTTTTTTCTTCACCATTTATTCCTTTTCTTTATATAGATCTCATGAAATCTGAATAGTGATACCTGTAAGTTAACTTCTGAAGGTTCCCTTGTAATAGCTTGTTCTGAAGATGAAATTTGTCTTCTGTATCTGTTGCGATACAGCTTCAGTTTTTCTCTTTTTTTTTTTCCCCCACAAAAGACAAGTCTTTGCTACTTGCTGTAATCTTATCTTTTTGTAAACTGTATACCATTTCTTTTATTTTAACTGTATGCCCATAAACTCCTGTGTTGCTTTTGGTAATATTTCCCTTGATTTTATAAGCATCAGCTCTCAGCAAGGGCTTGGTGTTTTCGCTCTGCCCTTGCTGTCACTTTTGCGAGCTAGCCTGATTAAGTGAATTAGTCTTGTCCCTGACTGTGACCGGTGAGGGAGGTTTGCTGGGTCTACAGTTGTCTGGCCGTGCTGATCCCATTGGTAGTTTACATCAAGAACGATGAACTTGGTGGTCAGAGCCACAGCTCTGTCTATTCAGTGCTCCACCTACGCAACAGGTGAGAAACTATCCAATTCTCCTTCTGTGCCACTATGTGTCACGCAGCTAGTTCATAGCAAAGAATAATTTGCTACGTAAACTGTCCTATGAGTTGTTTGTAAAAAGTGTTATTAAATAGCTCAGTAGTTCAGGTATATTAAACTGTGGATTGCCTTGCAATATTTTTTGATTTTTTACATTATCTGCTGAATACTCTTAATTTTTTTTTTAATGTTTATCTTCTTTTTCGTTTCAGGATGACACAGAAGAAAATTCCAATGACGGCAGCCAGCCATCCAAAAGACGACGTATGGGCTCAGGGGACAGTTCTCGGAGCTGTGAAACTTCTAGTCAGGACCTTGGGTAATATTATTTTTTACAGTTCCCGCTTTTTTATTGCTAGTCTTATTGTATTGTTCGAC